TTCACCATTTTCATTGAGCCACTCGCAATAGCCATCCGTCAGAACCCCCGCATACAAGGATTTCAAACAGCTCATATGCAACATACAATAAATCTCTATGCCGATGACATCTTACTTACACTCCAGAAACCACAATCATCTCTACAGGAAACAATTACCCTCATTGAATCATTCTCTAAAATCTCTGACTACTCAATAAACTGGACAAAATCCTCCATCCTCCCATTACACAACACCAAATGGGATGCGACAGCTCATACATCACATATTCCTTTATGCACCGGTCACATCACATACTTGGGCATTAACATTTCCTCCAGGCTGTCAGAGCTGACTGGACTCAACTTCACTCCACTTCTCAAAACAATAGACAACGATCTATACCACTGGAGGAATCTACCACTATCCATTCTGGGCAGAATAGCAATAATCAAAATGAAAATAATTCCCAAAATAAATTACCTCTTTTCAGTGATTCCAATCCAACCCAACAGCACCTGGTTCAGCTCCCTCGACTCAATAATCACCAAGTTCTACTGGAAAAATAAGCCACCAAGGATCAAACTGACAACACTTCAAAAACCCAAAGCAACAGGCGGATTACATGCACCACACTTCTATCATTACTTTCTGTCAAATCAGTTACAGTACATATACAAGTGGACACACCCCAGTCACTCAGATTACACCTGGCTAGACATAGAAGAAACACTCTGTAAGGACATTCAGATTTCAGATATCCCTTTTCTCAGCCAATCAATCAAACGACATCCATGTTTCAAAGTAACAACCATAGCATCCACTCTGACAGCCTGGTGGAGATTCCACAAAATCACATGTTCAACTATCTCACTATCTAACTTCACCCCCATCTGGAATAACCCTGATTTTCTTAGCAAAAAAAAAAACACTTAATTTTCACTCCTGGGTGCAAAAGGGCATCACACATTTAAAACACATCTTCCATAATAACACCCTGGTATCATTCCCATACCTGGTCCAGGAGTTTGGCATCACGAGTAATCAGTTTCTGGAATATTCACAACTCAAATCCTCGATACAGTCAAAAATTAATTCTAGTACAGCAAATCTATGCCTTTCCCCTGCAATCTCAGAATTAATCAATATCCCCAACCCCAAAAAACTCCTTTCAAAGATTTATAAAATAATATCTCACTCCGACCAAACTATATCATTACCGTCAATAAAATGGGAACAAGATCTCTCCCTCACTCGTGATGCCAACTTCTGGACCCAGATCTGTAAAAACATTTATCTCATGACAAAAAATGCAAATCTACAACTCATACAATATAAGGTACTCCACAGAACTCACTACACTGGTCAAAAAATGCTGAAAACCTCCCCGACACTTATATTCACGCCTTCTGGCATTGCACACCCATCAGGCACTTCTGGGAAGGAATCACGGACTCACTATCCCACTTCATGGGTTGTCGCATCCCCATGTCCCCCTCACTCTGTCTTCTAGGAGACCTTTCAATAATCTCAATAGATAATAAAAACCATAAACCTCTCCTTGTGGCCCTAACTATCGCCAAGAAAACTATCCTCATGAACTGGAAATCAAGACACAACATACATCTGACACACTGGAAAAACCTACTCATTGACCATATCTCTCTGGAATACACATCTACTACCCCCGTCAGCACAACAGCACCACACTCACCCTGGTCCACCTTCCTCCATTTTCTACAAATGTAATTTCATATTTGATTACTCTTCTCCTCCTCGTTCCTTAACACTTTTCTTTGTCTGGTAGCCTATCACCTTTTGCTTGACATTAAAATAGATGAAGTCCTGAGAGTACATACACATGCACACATGCACACACACATAACACACCCATACACACTCACACACACCTGTACAAACACACGCAATGCCATACACACCGCTTAATTTTATAAAGAAACAGGGATGGGATAGACAGGCTATATAAAACAGAACTTTAACAGACTTAGGAACACAGCACAAAGTTGTCTGCCTCAGGTCCCTAGCGGGCTGGGCCCTCTCTGCTGTCGCCTGGGTGTTGGGTGTGGGGGTCCACCTACGGGTGCCCGGTTGCGTGCTCTCCCGTCCCCTCAGGGTCTCCCCTCTGTGCTGGCTTCACTCTCTGGTCGACCCCCAAGCTCCTTACCTCCCTGATACTTTTAATGCATCACACCCAACTTTTTTTTTTTAATGCATCACAAGTCAACCAGGGATGAATGTGGGTTCATGTGTGTGAATTGTGTGAGTATGTGTGTAGGCTTGTGTGTATGTGGATGTGCGTGCACATTCCTGTGCAGGCAGGTGTGTGCATGCATGTGTGCGTGTGAATGTATGCACATGTACATATATATCAGGGAGGGGGAGCATTCAGACCGGGAGGTGGTTCATTGGGGGGTGGGCCGGCCTGGTCGAAGGGCGACCACGTGCGGAGCCCTGGGGGTGGCCCCCGCACCCGCCTTGGTGGGCATGAGTGTGGCTTGGCCTGCTCCCACTTCAGTGGGGATCTGAGGCAAAATGCCAACACACACTTAACAAATTTTCAATACTCAAATTAAATAACAATAATACAGGTCAACATTAAATCATCCGCATAGCCTGTCTATCCCCCCCCCCGGCACACATACATACACACGCGTATGCACACACATACACACACACATACACACACACACGCACGCATATACACACACACACACACACACACACACACACAGACACGCACACACACACACACACGCACATAAGGTTCACACTGTCACCAACCCCTGTCATCTTTGTTCCTATTTGTATGTAATGTTCAGTCGTAATGTCTGTCTTGTATCTTGTATGTCGTTTGGTTCCTATTTGTTGTAATCTATGTAGTTTGCAAATAAAAATTATTATTTAAAAAAAATAAAAAATTTTTACATAAATTGATTGTGATGTTTTCTGAAACCATCATTTCTTCGAATGGCGAAAAGTCCTCAAAATGTCACCTATGGATCTCAAAAAGCACTTTTAAAACACAAGATTCAGTGAAATGCTTTAATAACTTAGTGGTTTATAAAGTTTCAGAAACAGATTTGAAATATAATTAATTAACTACATTATGCAATTATTAATTATAATTGCAAACAGTGCCGTGTGATGACGTCATCGAGCCGTGATCCGGTTCGGTTCTGCAGGTGTGAGTGTGGAATACAGAACCCTACGCAGTTGTGCTCTGAGAAGTCTCTGAATATGTCTTTGTCAAAGGAGAGCTCTGATTGGTCAATAGTTTCTGTCTGAGAGACAGATGAAGCAAGTCATGGTGAAGGAAACAGAAACCAATAAGAAACAGATTTTAACATGTTCCTAGCAGATGCTGCGTATGAGGCACAACCCATTCAAGTCGAATCCAAACAAAGTCTCCTCCATGTCTTCAAATCTGGCACAAAAGTCCTATTCTACATTAAAATGCATGAGTGTATTTCCTCACTGAGTTTTGCTCAGATGATGAGAGCTTGGGTCCTGCACAGACTCTTTCTCTGGGTTTGTCTTCCAGTGATGAGACAGAGGGCGACAGTGGGTCTCTTTGTGTCCTTGAGGTTCGCCGAGGGTGTTTTAAAGCAGAACATGTCTGCTTCAGTCTCACCTGAGCGTGAGAAGAATCTGGACTCATCTGAGAAGACTCTGGACTCGCCTGAGAAGACTCTGGACTCGCCTGAGAAGACTCTGGACTCATCTGAGAAGACTCTGGACTCATCTGAGAAGACTCTGGACTCTGGACCTGAGAAGACTCTGGACTCGCCTGAGAAGACTCTGGACTCATCTGAGAAGACTCTGGACTCATCTGAGAAGACTCTGGACTCATCTGAGAAGACTCTGGACTCATCTGAGAAGACTCTGGACTCATCTGAGAAGACTCTGGACTCATCTGAGAAGACTCTGGACTCGCCTGAGAAGACTCTGGACTCATCTGAGAAGACTCTGGACTCATCTGAGAAGACTCTGGACTCATCTGAGAAGACTCTGGACTCATCTGAGACTCTGGACTCGCTGACAAGACTCTCTGAGAAGACTCTGCTCATCTGAGAAGACTCTGGACTCGCCTGACAAGACGCTGGACTCATCTGAGAAGACTCTGGACTCGCCTGACAAGACGCTGGACTCATCTGAGAAGACTCTGGACTGACTTGGCGTCCCTTTTTGGAAGCATTGGATCTTCTGCAATAGAGTCTGGACCTGCTCAGTGCCCCAGGCTTTGTTGTTGAACACATGATGTCTCTGTCCTAACAGGATGCTGAGGACTCTCATTGTCCATAGAGATGAAGCCCTCCAGACTCCTCCCCTTTAAAAGACTCTCTTTTAAAACACAGATGGAAGTATATGAGGAATGTGTTTAAACCCCTGGCAACGAGGGCTGTTTTTATCTAAAACACTAATATGACCTCAGTTCAGACTGACTGTGTCTGAAGCCTTTGGAGAAAAAAGGCTGGGCTCTTTCTGAAGCTGAGGGGCTGTAGTTTTGGTCTCCTCCCATTATGAGAGTCTAATCTACTCCCATTATAAATAGGAAGAAACTAGATTATTTCCACTCTGTAGATTAGGATGTGTTGACGAAGAGCAAAGCAGGCACGTAGCCATCTAAGATGTTTTTGAGGGTAGGGTTAAAGCCCCACTGCGGAACATTTAATCACACTAGAACAGGGTTAAAGTTAGAGATAGGCCAATATATTGGTTGACCGATACATCTGGCCAATATTTGGACATTTTAGTGTTAGCCGGTTATCTACCTTAAATCTCCAGTTGTTTTCTTATGGGTTTGTGGTGAAAAAAGGATTGTGCATCTGGACGTCACGATCCATCCAGTGAGGATGGGCTGAGGACGTCACACATGTCACAGAGCAACAGGATGTTTCAACTTTTCTTTATTGTCATATATAATAGCAATACAATAACTGAGTTTCAGAGGACAACGCAGCTTTCAGTGGCTACAGAAGAAGTTCAAAAGCAGATCTCTGTTGTAATACTGCAAGCTGAACGCCGTGGGTCATGTCACTTAGGCCACCGTTTTATTCAGACTTTGTAAAGTGAGTTTGGTCTGGTCACTTCGGTCTAGTCACTAATGATCTGGTTCAACATTTGCCTTTTGGATGTTTCATGGTAAAGAATGATAATCAGTAATGAACTTTGTCTCCTGCTCCTGAATCTGAAAACTAACAATGTCCCACAATCCACCTGGTCTTGGAGCTGTGGAGGATCAAACATAAATGTCCTCCTCTATGTCACCAGGGTCAGATGGAGATTGGCTCTCGGACTTGGTTTCGGGGCTATTCAGGGTCCGAGTATGGTCCTGGGTCTGCCTGTCCAGATTTTTGCCTCTGAATACCGAGGCATACAGGTTTTCCTCCAAACATCGAGGACCTGCAACAACAACAAAGTCAAATGAAAACCTTAGAAAGCTGTGGGTGATCAAATATAAATGTTCTTCTCTGAGTCACCAGGGTCAGATGGAGATTGACTCTCGGACTTGGTTCTGGGGCTATTCTGGGTCTGGTCCTGGTTCTGGCTCTCCGGGTCTTTGGCTCTGAACATTGGGACATACAGATTTTCCTCCAAACATTGAGGATCTGCAAAGACGCCAATCTCAAATTAAAACTTCAGAAAACTAAACAAAAATAAAAGCATGTTTTTTTTTCATTATGGATGTTTTATTGCACTGAAAAACCTGCTTCCTTACTGTGAGCGAGCTATAATATTCTAGAGTCTAGCAAAAAATGTACCTTTATCTCTGCTCTGATTTTCTGTTTTATCTGTATCTTTGCTCTGATTGGCTTGTTCACCTTTATCTCTGCTCTGATTAGTCGCTGATGAAGCCCTCTTCCTCCTGATGAAGATGACGATGAGGAGGAGGATCAGGATCAGACTCACACCGAGTGGAGTCCAGCCTCGAGACCAAACCTGCTGTTTTTAAGGCATAAGATTAATATGGCAAGTTTGTGGAGACAGTTCTAAACAAATGATAAGGTTCAACATTTGTGGATCAGAAGTTTGAAGATTTCTTTAAAAACAGTGAATCTCCCGTAGAGTTGACGGCACCATCATCCTGGGAAAACTTTTCAATAAATGAATTTTATTCTTTAACATCCTTAAAAAGATGAAATGCTCTACTGCTACCTAATTTTACCACTGTAACATTATGTCTGCTTGATCATTCACTTAGGAGATTAGGAGACCCATTCTGCAAAATGTACTTTTCAGAGCTTTTAACCATGTTATAGTTGTTTCCTTCTCATTGACCCTCTGAAGTTGCATTTAGACTGCACGTTTGAGTAACCTTTATTTTCCTGTATTCAAGATGTCACTGTTCCGCCCTTTTCACCGCCATCGGTACACGCCCACTGTGACACACCCTGCGTTCAATTATCTTCCGACTCCCACTTGGACCTCGGATTTGACGTCACGTCCGAGCTTGAAGCATTCCGTGACACGGACGTGGTAAAGTTCAGCAGTGATACGAGCGACTGAAACTATCATTTAAACCACCAAAGTGTCCAAACATGAAAAAAAGTTCATATTTATACATCACAACCATTCAGAATCCTTGCTCGGTCTACTTTTTCCGCCACCGAGGTCTGAGTTACTAATTCAGAAGGATAATCGAACGCTGGGTGACGCATTTTGTTCTACACAGGTTTATTTTCTTAATCAATGACACACGTATGATTCAGCAGCGTCACGTTGTCATTTTGGTGCAAATGAAATGCTCGCTGTGTGATGTGCAGTTATCTGTTTTGTTGTGATGACGTTTACGCCGATGTCAGCTCCAGTTGGGCAATTCAGTTTTTAACACATAAGTCATCAGAATTCAGGAAGACGTTTGGAAACATGCGATGACAACTTCTGGTGTAGTTCCCAACACTGGACTCACGAACGACTGTGATAAAACCCATTGAAATAAATGTGATCAGCAGTAAAATGAAGACTGCATACGTATGGGTTGTTTGGAATCATCTTGAATTAGATGATTATGATAATCTTGATTAGCCGAACATAACAGAGTGACACAATGACATGGAGATGAAGAAAACTGGGCTTGGGAAGTTGTCATTGCATCTCTCCAAACATCTTCCTGGTTTGATCTTATTGTGATTTCATATTTGAAAATGATAATGATTCACGGGTGTTGTAGATTATTATTATAGAGCAGACACAAGCGCGTCTGCTTCAAAAAAAAAAGAGTTTACCTGTGACCCCTCCCCTCCTGTGTATATCCTCCCTCGGGGCTTGTGCCCATATACGGTCAGTCTGATGCTCTTCTTGCTGAGGCACTTGCCGGCGTAGAACACTTCCTGTTCGTACACTCCGCTGTCACTGATACGAACGTCTTTGAGTCGCAGAGTTCCGTCCTCCAGCAGATCACAGTGCATCTTGCACTCCCCTTTACGCTTCCGTGTCACCACAAAACCAGTCTTGTCCTTCTTCTTTAAAAAAACAAAACAAAAAACTAGTATTAACAGAAACAACAATGAGACAAAACAACAAGGGTATATACTGTATAATGTGCAGACGGGATTGTTGTCCAGTTCACAGTAACGGCAGGAGTGGAGAGTGGAGAGGTATAAATGTACATACATACACATAAACACAACACATAAACACATACACACACACACACACACACACACACACCCCACACACATACACACACACACCTACACATAAACACACACAAACACACACACACACACACATATATCCATACATACACACAGACATACACACATACATACACACACACACACAAACACACACACACACCTACACATAAACACATACACACACACACACACACACACAAACACACACAAACACACACACACCCCCACACACATACACACACACACCTACACATAAACACACACAAACACACACACACACATAGATCCATACATACACACAGACATACACACACACAAACACACACACACACCTACACATAAACACATAGACACATACATACACACAAACACACACACACACACCTACACATAAACACATACATATACCCAAACACACACACACACACACATACACACAGACATACACACATACATACACCCCCCCACACACATACACACACCTACACATAAACACATACACACACACACAGACAGATATATACATACATACACACACACAGACATACACACATACATACATACAGTATATACAAACATACATACACACATACACACATACATACACACATACATACAGTCCCTGACAAAAGTCTTGTCGCTTATTCATTTTGTAGAAACAAAAACTTATAATCTGACTTTAATTTAATCGATTGGTTTTAGAAATGTCTCATATGAAAGCTAAAACCCTCCCAAATTATGCTCAATATACTAAAATAAATTTGCTTCACTGAAGAAAGATTGATCATTTAATGAACACAGAAAGGTCAGATTTTGGCAAGACAAAAGTTTTGTCGCCTTGTCATATGATGCACCCAATCCTAGATTACAGCCTCACTTGTGATCAGTTACTGATCAATCAATTAGTGGGTGTGTATAAAAAGAAGCCCAGCACACCAGACCTTCACATCAACTGCAACTTGACCTCTGACAACATGCCTAAGATCCACCCTGAGACCAAAGCCTTAATTATCAAGAGGCTGAAGACCAGATCCACTGCTGAGGTGGTGACACCTTCAATGTGTCTCAGTGTCAAGTACAAAGAATAAGAAAAAGATCTGAAATGACTGGAGATGTTTTTGACAAGCCCAGGTCCAGCAGACCCCGCAAGACAACTGCTCGGGAGGACCGTTTGTTGATTCAAAAATCCAAGGCCAGCCCCTTTTCCACTGCAGCAGACTCCACCAGGCCTGGTCACCTCAAGTCCCTGTGTCAACCACAACAGTTTGTAGAATTCTGTCTCGAAATGGCCTCCATGGTCGAATCAGTGCACAGAAACCAGCACTAAACAAAAGGCAATTAAAAAAACCGTGTGGCATTTGCCAAGGCCCACAGCCTGTTAAAAGGATGGACACTGGAAAAGTGGCAGAAGGTGGATTTCTCAGATGAATCCTCGGTTGAATTACATCACAGCCGCCGCAAATATTGCAGGAGACCTACTGGAGCCACATGGATCCAAGATTCACCCAGAAAACAGTTAAGTTTGGTGGCGGAAAAATCATGGTCTGGGGTTCCATCCAGTCTGGGGGTGTGTGAGACATTTACAGGGTGGAAGGCAAATATCAATAACCTAAAATATCAAGAAGTATTAGTTCCTCTTACATTCCCAACCATAAAAGGGTCAAATTTTGCAGCAGGATGGTGCTTCATCACATACTTCTATCTCTACATCAAAGTTTCTCAAGGTGAAGAAGATCAAGGTGGTCCAGGACTGACCAGCCCAGTCACCAGACATGAACATCATTGAGCATGTCTGGGGTAGAATGAAAGAGGAAGCATGGAAGGAAAACCAAAGAATCTTGATGAACTCTGGGAGGCTGTAAGACGCTTTCTTTGCTATTCCTGATGACTTCATCAACAAATTGTATGAATCATTGTCAAACCGCATGGATGCAGTCCTTCAAGCTCATGGAAGTCAGACAAGATATTAAATATAGATCTCACAGCACCACTACTTCATTCAATGACGTTATGCAACATATTTTTGTATTTGAAGTCAATTATTTGTTCAATTTTCTGTAGGCGACAAAACGTTTGTCTTGCCAAAATCTGACCTTTCTGTGTTCATTAAATGATCAATCTTTCTTCAGTGAAGCAAATTTATTTTAGTTTATTGAGCATAATTTGGGAGGGTTTTAGCTTCATATGAGACATTTCTAAAACCAATCCATTAAATTAAAGTCAGATTATAAGCTTTTGTTTCTACAAAATGAATAAGAGACAAGACTTTTGTCAGGGACTATACATACATACACACACATACATACACATACATACACACACATACATACACACACACATACATACACACACACACATACATACATACATACATACACATACATACATACATACATACATACACACACATACATACATACACACACATACATACACACACATACATACATACATACACGCATACACACATACATACATACATACATACATACACACATACATATATACATAATACATAATTTTAATTGTTTTAATAGATTTTATGTTAGAAATAGCTTTCAGCGTTTGAAGATAATTTTTGATATCTAGTATAATGATTTTGAAAAGGTGTCTGGAACTGGAGAATTTGGATCTATATGATAAATAGGTTTTCTAAATATTCAATTTGATATTGTTTATGATGGAAATGGGTTATTATGCTTGAGCAGAACAAATGAATTCTGACAGATGTTTTTCTGGGATGTTTCTAAATTTGACCCGAGTTCCTTTGAGTATTACAGTACAGTAACAAAAGAGATGGGGGATGGTTTCTTACCTTAAAATCAGTCTCATTCATCCAGGTCCAACGCACGTCAGGAAGCTCCGCCCCCAGAACATCAGGCCCCACCCCCAGTACACCAAGCTCCGCCCCTGTCAGCTCCACCGTCCCGCCCACAGACACCGACACCTCTGATTGGAGCAGACAGAGGCGTGGTTAAAGTCACGAGTTTAGTGGGATTGTACCTAAATATTTATCATAGTCTCACATCAGCTTAAAGGGTCTGATTTTTTTCCATTTATCTGAGCAAAATGTGCCCCAGTACAGATATATTGTATAACTAGGGGTCAAAATAAGTCCACTGTGTAAGAAAACATTTCAGACATGATGTAAAGATAAATAAATTAAAAAAAGATAAATACATTAAAAAAACTGAAACCAGTGAATACCGTCTTCTGTTTTCAGGCAGTAACCAGTCCCAGCAGTCGATGCCCGAACAGACGCCCTGCTCCTCGGCCTTGGGGTTCTCTTAGGGGAGGTCCTAGATTCAAGTCCTAATCCAAGATTAGTCCTGATTTAAACCTGGTTTAAACCTGGTTCATTTCTGGTTTAAACCTGGTTTAGTCCTGGTTTAGTCTTGGTTTAATTCTAGTTCAGTCCACAGTTTAGTCCTGGTTTAGTCCCTGGTTTAGTCTGTGATTCAGTCCTGGTTTAGTCCTGGTTTAGACCTGGTTTAGTCCTGGTTCAGTCCTGGTTTAGTCCTGGTTTAATCCTGGTTCAGTCCTAGTTTAGTCCTCTTTTAGTCCTGGCTTAGTCCCCCTGGTTTAATCCTGGTTCAGTCCTGGTTTAGTCCTGGTTCAGTCCTGGTTCAGTCCTGGTTTAGACCTGGTTTAGTCCTGGTTTAATCCTGGTTTAAGCCTGGTTTAGTCCTGGTTCAGTCCTGGTTCAGTCCTAGTTTAGTCCTGGTTTAGTCCTGGTTCAGTCCTGGTTTAGTCCTGGTTCAGTCCTGGTTTAGACCTGGTTTAATCCTGGTTCAGTCCTAGTTTAGTCCTGGTTCAGTCCTGGTTTAATCCTGGTTTAAGCCTGGTTTAAGCCTGGTTTAGTCCTGGTTCAGTCCTAGTTTAGTCCTGGTTCAGTCCTGGTTCAGTCCTGGTTCAGACCTGGTTTAGTCCTGGTTCAGTCCTGGTTCAGTCCTGGTTCAGACCTGGTTTAGTCCTGGTTCAGTCCTGGTTCAGTCTGTATACGTTGTAAAAATTCGGCATCTTTGCTCTGTGTTTGTTTTTTGACGATCAGAAAGTTATTTTGTTAAAGTGCTGAAATTGTCGTGTCATGTTTTACTTTTTAAACACAGTAATATTATGATGTAACAAATGACTCTGAAATGACAGAAACAAGTCATAAATAAATAACACATTACAGTTTTGAAGCCACTCGCCCGACAGTGGTCTTTAGTAACTGCACATTCTCCGTACGGTGGTTTTAAGTGTGAACAAAGGTTCACAAAGTAAAATACAGACTGACAGGAAGCAGCGCTGAATTCTAAAAGAGTTCATTTGCAGAGAGTAAAACCACATTTCAGTCTGAAGCCACAATGGACAAAGGTGAGAAACATTCACGACGAATGTAGAAACATGTCTCAGATAAAACCACAAGGACATAACAGCACATTATGAAAACATTATAAGTATAAAAGAAGGTCAGTGTCATGTTTTAACGTTTTAATATGTATATTATTCGTTCATTCGTTTTTCAAAATAAAACCAAAAATAAAAAAATGAAAAAACAACTATCTTCTTCATTATTTGTCTCCAAAACCAAAATGAAAAAACTGTTTTCGATTTTGTGTTTAAATGAAAAATGGAAAGAACGGATAACGACCGTTTCCGTGATTTAAACTGTGATGCCGGACTAAACCAGGACTGAACCAGGACTAAACCAGGACTGAACCAGGACTAAACCAGGACTGAACCAGGACTGAGACAAGGACTGAGACAAGGACCAAACTGGGTCCAGACGGGTATCAAACAGAGCCCTGACCAGAACTGATACTGGGACTGAGACCGGGACCGAGACCAGGAAGGAGACCAGTTTAGTCATGTTTCAGTGCTGGTTTAGTCCTGGTTTAAACCTATTTTAGACCTGGTTCAGTCCTGGTTCAATCCCCCTGGTTCAGTCCTGGTTTATTCCTGGTTTGGTCCTCGTTCAGTCGTGGTTTAGATCTATTTTAGACCTGGTTCAGTCCTGGTTTACTCCTGGTTTAATCCTGGTTTAGTCCTGGTTTAATCCTGGTTCAGTCCTGGTTTAGTCCTAGTTCAGTCCTGGTCTAGTCCTGGTTTAGTCCTGGTTTAGTCCTGGTTCAGTCCTGGCTTAGTCCTGGTTCAGTCCTGGTTTAGTCCTGGTTTAGTCCTGGTTTAGTCCTGGTTCAGTCCTGGCTTAGTCCTGGTTCAGTCCTGGTTTAGTCCTGGTTCAGTCCTGGTCCTGGTTTAGTCCTGGTTCAGTCCTGGTTTAGTCCTGGTAGTCCTGGTTTAGTCCTGGTTCAGTCCTGGTTTAGTCCTGGTTTAGTCCTGGTTCAGTTCGGCATCACAGTTTAAGTTACATATCCGTTTTTTTCCGTTTTCATTTAAACACAAAATCGAAAAATGAAAAAAACAAATAATTATCTGTTTTTTTCCATTTTGGTTTTGGAGAGAAATAATGAAGAAAACTGTGTTGTTGTTTTTTTTGTTTTCTTACTTTTGGTTTTATGTTGAAAAGCGAACGATACACGGATTTGTTTTGTTTCATTCTCACATGTTTAACACACAAACCCTTCACATTTAGGCATAATTCTTCTCTCAAACACTCCACCTTCTGATGTCATGTGGTTATACAGGACAGGCTCCACTGTGTTTTTAAACTCCACACACTTTCTCTAGAATCATTTGGACTATTTCAGCCCTGGAATTACCGATCTCTACTGAACTAAAGGTAAAAGCAAAATAAAAGACCTTTAAGGACATTTTTCTGTCAGTTTAATAAAATAAAGGTGCTGTTGTGGATCTGACACTCAACCAGTGATTAGTCCTGGTTTAGTTCTGGTTAAGACCTGGTTTAGTTCTAGTTTAGACCTGGTTTAGTTCTGGTTTATTTCTGGTTAAGACCTGGTTTAGTTCTGGTTTAGACCTGGTTTAGTTCTGGTTTATTTCTGGTTAAGACCTGGTTTAGTTCTGGTTTAGACCTGGTTTAGTTCTGGTTTATTTCTGGTTAAGACCTGGTTTAGTTCTGGTTTAGACCTGGTTTAGTTCTGGTTTATTTCTGGTTAAGACCTGGTTTAGTTCTGGTTTAGACCTGGTTTAGTTCTGGTTTATTTCTGGTTAAGACCTGGTTTAGTTCTGGTTTAGACCTGGTTTAGTTCTGGTTTATTTCTGGTTAAGACCTGGTTTAGTTCTGGTTTAGACCTGGTTTAGTTCTGGTTTATTTCTGGTTAAGACCTGGTTTAGTTCTGGTTTAGATTTGGTTTAGTTCTGGTTCAGTCCTGGTTCACACCTGGTTTAGACCTGGTTTAGTTCTGGTTTAGTCCTGGTTTAGACCTGGTTCAGTTCTGGTTTAGACCTCATTCAATTCTTGTATACCCCTGGTTTAGACCTGCTTTAGTCCTGGTTCACAACTGGTTTAGACCTGTTTTAGGATAAGCAACTAGTCTTAGGTCGTGTATAACTAGAATTCACTCTACAATGACCCAGAACACAGGGACCAGATTACAGCTGATGGATGCAGAGATAGGTTCAGTTCATGTACAAAATATTCTATTTCTATCTATATGTCTAATCAATTAACTAAACAGGGCAAGGACTTATTGATCGGGATATGCTGACTCACGACTCATCACCCTGATCAGACCAGCGAGACGCTTTCGTAAGGGGAGTGAGATGAATCCGGGGGATCCTTGTCACAATCAGATAAGATTGTGCAGCGTGCCAAGAGGCCTGGCTGGACCGAGCACCAACAAAGAGGCACTAAGTCTAAACCACGGTCGCCTCCCACTATAGTTTGAGTATAAAAATCATTGTATAGGCGTAAATATTCAGTCTCTGCATGGAAATGTCAGCACAGACTCCTTGTACAAGGATGACTTTTCTAATATTGGAATAAGTAAATTATCTGGACTGTATTTCTGTTTCAAGTGTAATTTTCTGTCTAAGCAGAAACTAGTGAACACGCGAGGAAAAGGTTATTTTCCTCAACACCTGTTTTAGTCCTGGTTTAGTCCTAGTTCAGTCCTGGTTCAGTCCTAGTTTAGTTCTGATTGAACTGTGTGAATTTTTGTGAGACAAACACTGAGCTACTGTTGCCCATTAGTACGATTACTGCTACTACTACAATTACTACAACTAGTATTACAGAATACTACTACCACTTCTATGACTACTGCGAGAACTACAGTTGGGTCCGGTCAAGCAGAAGTAAACAGCAAGGCCAAAAATTCAAGTTAATGCATCTGATATAAAAATGTATTGAACAGATACATATGTACTCTAGTTTATGAAACTGTTGACCTTTTTTCTGTACCATTTTTGGTTCTAAAGTTCCATATGTTTTAAACAGACCATGTATGAAACATGAACAACAATTATTTCCCAAATTTCAAAGACCCAAAATCATGTAAATAAATGGATGTATTTCATCATATCTTGTGTTATTCCATCTTTGAACTGTTGATGAAGGTACATGATTTAAAAAAAAAAAAAAAAAAAGTATTTAAAATGATAAAAATTTGCTTGGAAGGACTGACATATTTTATAGAAATAGTTTCCTTTCATTTTGAAGTAATATTAAAGTATTCGGAAGAAAAAAGCTGACAAATTATACAAAACCATGCACCTCAAATAAGAAATAATAATAATAATAATAATGATAATAATACAAATATATATATATATATATATATATATATATATATATATATATATATATATATATATATATATATATATATATATATAATATATAATTATTATTATTATTTATTTTTTATTTTTTTCTTTCTGTATGCGTGTTTAGTTAAGTCTGTCTTATTGTGGATGTGCTGGGTATCCAATCCCTTAAATTTGACAAATTATAAAAAAAATAAATAAAAAAAAAAAAAATCCTGCACCTTCTGCTTGTTTGTACAATTTTCCCTCCGTTACTTTTCCCTCCGTTACCATGACTTTTCTTAATAAAAAATCTCATGAGTCAAAAAGTAAGAGGTTTTTCAACCTAATCTTGTACCATATGGTAGAAAACTATATGAAGCAAATATTCAAACCAGTTTGTTAAGGATATGGAAGTGAGAACCACTAGTTATCACTGTTTGGATTTACTGCCCAAAAAGTGCTGCATATTTCATTCCCTCCATTACCGACATGAGTTTTTTAATTTTTTGTCTTGAACTTGAAAGAATATCACAGGTTTAACTTGACCCTGTTGGAGTGTAACTCTTTCCTACATTCTGATACTTTACTTATTTCAATAGTCCCTCTAGTTTCTGAATAAGAGACATTTGAATGTCAAAAATCTGCCCGTTTCCCTCCGTTACTGTTTGACCGGACCCAGTTACTACTACTACTACTACTACTACTACTACTACTACTACTACTACTACTACTACTACTACTACTACTACTACTACTACTGTTACTACTGCTACTACTACTGTTACTACTGCTACTACTATTACTGCTTTTGATCCACAGCTCAGACACAGTGTCTCACAGATTAATAACAGAGCAAATAAAAAACACTAAACATTTAATATAAAGTCAATACTGACCTTCAGCCGCCACAGCCGCCACCGTCAGAATCAACACAAGCATTTTCTCTGTTGCTGTAAACCTGGTCTGGACCTGGTTTAGACCTGGTTTAGACCTGGTTTAGTCCTGGTTTAGTCCTGGTTCAGACCTCATACTGAGCAGACAGAGGCCTGTGTGAATTTCTGTGAGACAGAACTGAAAATCAGATGGACCACAGTGTCTCAATTCTTGTGTGTGTGTGTGCGCGCGCGCCCGTGTGTGTGTGTGTGTGTGTGTGTGTGTGTGGGTTTTGTTTGTATGTAGAACAGGCAGTTGTGGGCATATTGTGGTTGGGTGCAAGAGCATGTGGAACAGTTTTCTGATGACTGTTAATCACTTTCTGTTGTTTTTTTTTTTGTATGAAAAGCTCTTTATAAAAAAGTTTGATTGATTGTGATTTTTTCTGAAACCAGCAAGTCCTCAAAATGTCACCTATGAATCTCAACAGTGACCAAAAACCACTTTTAATGCACAACATTCAGTGAAATGCTTTAATAACTTAGTGGTTTATAAAGTGTCAGAAACAGATTTGAAATATAATTATAGGTCTTACGATCATTAGGCACCACGCAGCTGATTAGCCCTGAGCAAACATTCAAGCTTTTAGGCTGCTTTTATATGATGACGGCCTGAACAGAAGACGCAAAAGTGGCGTAACGTCTTCTCTTTTTATTTCGCATTTGGATGAACATTTTCAGAAGGAAATTTGCGTGCATACGGTGATGCAAAAGTGTGTGGAATTTGATTGGGTATGGTTGTACTTAAAGCAACAAGGGAATCTTTGGACAAAAAGTTTTCAAGTCACACATTTTCATCAGCTGCTCCTTCCACAAAGTCGTCCCACCATCGACTGGTTCTCCAGGTCTCGTCCATATCCGTCTGACTCTCCTGCGACAAACTGATGCATCCAGAATTTGAGGTAATTGCAGATCCTTCTCTATTCACTAATAGCTCTGCAGATTTTGTACATTTGTTGAGATGAAAACATGTTTGTTTCTGTGTACTGTATGTATGTGACGTAAACGCGTATGCGACCTGAGCAGATCTGACCACAGTTTGTCGCTTAAGTCGCCTATTGGACATTAAATGTAGAATATTTATTTTTCTTTTCAACATTCAATTGAACCAACAATATTGGAACAAAATAGTTAATAAAATAATTACAAAAAGATTAGAAATTATATAAAACATTTGAACATTTTTAATGAGATAGGTGGGCCTGTCTGAGTTTTTGTAGTGCAGCAGAAGATCAGGCACAGTGTTCAGTCTATTTCTGTTTCTGTGCTTTGTCTTTATTTTTGTGAGCACAGAAAATACAAATTCACACAAATATGTAGAAGTGAAAGGAATAAGCAGAGAAACACTGGCTTTACTGAGGACAGGATATTCTCTCACCCTGTCATGTGTCAGAACTGTATATTACAGACCTACATGCAGATCGTGACAAGGCGACCCCCAAAAAATCTGCAGCATTTTCTAAGATTTATTCCGGGTCAAGCTGGTAAAAACCACAGGCCCAACCAGGTGCACTCTGATCTGGCTGTACAACCCACTTTTATCCCCTAGGTGCCCCATGGAACCAAAAACAGAAAAGGGTCTAAGGTAAATAAGGCAAATTATACTAAACAAATAGGTTATAGGTTATTTTTTCAGACCAAGAGTTTGTTTTCATACCTGACAGTTTCGGTTGTTCACTACGGTCTTCCTCAGAGTCACGTGATGTTGATTTAAACAGTTTTTGGCGCTGTCTTCCTACCGGTGGAGGCAGGATGACAGCGCCATCTGCAGTCCAACTTCCTCAGGACAGAATCCCAGGTGTGTGAGAGTAAAAAAGCCCCTCGTCCCGGTTTATCGTCCCGTGGGCATGTTTCCGTATTTCGATAGCCTCTATAATCCAGCGACGATGTTTGTTTTCAGTGACGTTTGCTCCGTCCCAGTCCAGAATGTCGTTCTCTGAATGAATGAATGAACGTTTATTCAGACAATAATACATAGAACATAAATAAAAAACGTAAATACATAGATATAACACAAAAAGAAAATATTTCCATTCTATAATAACAGGCAAAATAAATATTACACCGAATTTTCCTTGTGTCCGAAAAGGGAGTGGGAGGAAGTAAATACTTATTTAACCCCACCCTTTCTCTCTCTCTCTCTCTCTCTCTCTCTCTCTCTCTCTTACATTGCGCAGAAATGGTCGATTTGAGTTGTTTCTGTTCTGCTTTGTGTTTTGTTGCTCGTGTTTCGCCTTCGCTGTTTCCTTCTCGCATTCTGTTCTACATTCTTTTTTTCATGTACTGAACGCACTCCCTGTTTCCCTGATGTGTCTTTTTTTTGTCGTTTATGACATAAAATTTATGCTCTGGTCCAATTTATTTATTTATTTATTTATTTATTTATTGTGCGGTTTCACTGGTGCGTTGATATTTTCTCTTTTTTTTTTTGTTATGCCTCTTATGTACAGTAATGTTACCACGCCTGTGCTTTTTTTTCAGTTTTATTTTTTAAATTAGCAAAAATAATATTAACGCAGCAAAAATGTATTATAAAAATTAATAAAACTAAATTAATAAACTAAGTGACATAACAAAAATTATAAGTTAATTTCAGAATAAACAAAATAAACAAAAAGCTCCTACGTTTACGATAAGAAAATACGTTTTTTTGTTTTTGTTTTTATCGCGTAGGTTTGTGACGTCAGATCACGTGACCGGAAGCAGCAGTGAAGTGGCGTTTGTTTGTGGCTAACGCTAGCGGCTAACAGCAGCAGGTCAGACTTTCCTCCTGTTTTTTCCCTTTTCGCGGAGTTTTAATGTTTATAAACCGCTCGGACTTTCTCTGGACCCGCTTTAGAGACGGAACCAGGAGCTGACAGAAGATCTGACCCAAAGCTGTGACTTTAAAGAGCGGGTTTAGCTGTTAGCGTCGGGCTAGCCTCATGTGTCACTGTCAAGTCTGCGAGTTTGTGTTACCAAACCAAAACTAAAACCAGGACTAAAACCGGGTCTGAACCAGGTCTGAACCAGGTCTGAACCAGGACTAACACCGGGTCTGAACCAGGACTTAAACCGGGTCTAAACCAGGTCTGAACTAGGTCTAAAACAAGACTAAAGCCGGGTATACATCTGGACTAAAACTGGATCTGAACTTGGTCTAAATCATAACAAAACTAGATCTAAAGTGAGTCTAATGCGGGACTAAAGCAGGACGAAAACAGGACTAAAGCTGGGTCTAAATTTGGATTAAAACTGGGTCTGAACCAGGTCTAAATCAGGACGAAAGCCGGGTCTAAACCAGGAATGAACCAGGACTAAAAAAACGGGTCTAAATATGGACTAAAGCTGGGTCTGAATCAGGTCTAAAGTGTAACAAAACTAGATCTAAAGTGGGTCTAATCCATGACTAAAGCAGGACGAAACCAGGTCTACACCAGGTCTAAACCGGGAATGAACCAGGACTAAAACAGGACTAAAACTGGGTCTAAATCTGGACTGAAACTGGCTCTGAATCAGGTCTAAAGCGTAACAAATCTAGATCTAAAGTGGTTCTAATTCGGAATTAAAGCAGGATGAAACCAGGTCTAAACCAGGACTAAAACCGGGTCTGAACCAGGTCTAAACCAGAAATGTACCAGGACTAAACCAGGACTAAATCAGGACTAATGAAGAGTCTAAATTTGGACTAAAACTGGGCCTGAACCAGGTCTAAATAACAAAACTAGATCTAAAGTGGGTCTAATCCAGAACTAAAACTGGGCCTAAACCAGAAAAGAACCTGGACTAAAACAGGACTAAAGATGGGTCTAAATTTGGATTAAAACTGGGACTGAACCAGGCCTAAAGCAGGACTCAAACGGGGTCTAAACCAGGAATGAACCTGGACTGAACAAGGACTAAACCAGGATTAAAGCCGGGTCTAAATCTGGACTAAAACTGGATTTAAACCAGGTCTCAACTGTAACAAAACTAGATGTAAAATCGGTCTAATCCGGGACTAAAGCAGGACAAAACCAGGTCTAAACCAGGACTAAAACTTGATCTAAACTAGTAATACACAGAAATCTAGAAAAAAAAACAACAACTGTGAATTTGACTTTTGGGAATTTTGTTATAAAAATCCCAGAGAAGGAGACTCAACTTTAAATGTTTTCAATGTGAATTTTATTTTTTAGCGACGATGGAGGGACAAAAGACGGAAACACAGGACGAAGAGGAGAATTTTTACGACTGCGAGGAGAGTCTGGAGACCGCAGGAGCCTTACACAGACTGAGCCTCAACCCCAAGGAGGAGAGGACAGAGGAAACCAACGAGGAGGCGAGCGAGGAGACGAACGAGGAGGCAAAAAATGAAAAGACGAGCGAGAGACTGAGGGAGGACATGGGAGTCGAGACGAATCCCGAAAACCAAACCGATGAACATTTGAACGAAAGACTAAAACCGAGTGCTTCCGGATGAAAGAGACGAAGGAGATGTTTTAGGAGCTACCGGAGGAGATGAGGAAAGGACACAAGGATGCGCCGAGGAGGGGCGGGGGTGGCAGGTGAAGAGGAGGGGCGGGGCGGCAGGTGAAGAGGAGGGGGCGGGGGCGGCAGGTGAAGAGGAGGGGCGGGGGCGGCAGGTGAAGAGGAGGGGGTGGAGTTTCCCTCTGAGCAGGTGCAGACGGACGAAGAATACTTAATGGAGCTAGAGAAACAGCTGAGCGATGAAGAGAAGGAGGTGAGACTACATTACCCACAATGCACCTGTGTCAGATTTTATTTTGAAGGCCTGTTTCTGTCTCTGTTTCAGGTTCGGCGGCAGCAAAGTCTCAGCCTCAAAGACAAAGGAAACCAGCTCTTCAAAGACCAGGGTCAGTGTGAAACGATACGCTCACACTATCTGCCGATACCCAATAAAATGTGTGATGTAGCTTTTATTTATCTCTAAAGTAATGACAGAACTAGTTTGTATTAAAACATCAAACAAACTTTCTGAGCCAGCTACGACCAGTAAATTGTTTTATTACATCTATTTATATGTTCAAAAATGATATCAGCAGAACCGATATTTTGGAGCTGATCCAGCCAATTTTCTGTATTTGTGCATGTACCATTGACCATTGACCATTGACCATTTCGTAAAGTGAAAATGTATTCCACATATATTGTATATTTTATATTTATCTGCTGCTGTGTTTATTTTTGCAGACTGGTGTTCAGCAGAGAGAGTTTATTCTGAAGCTCTGAGTCTGTGTCCTCTGAGCTTCAACTCTGACAGAGCAGTTCTCTACTCCAACAGAGGGGCCGCCAGAGTGCACCTGGTAATACTGCAATACTACTACTACTACTATTACTGCTACTACTATTACTGCTACTACTACTACTACTACTGCTACTACTACTACTGCTACTACTACTACTGCTACTACTACTACTGCTACTACTACTACTACTGCTACTACTACTGCTACTACTACTACTACTGCTACTACTACTACTGCTACTACTACTACTACTACTGCTACTACTACTACTACTACTACTACTACTACTACTACTACTGCTACTACTGCTACTGCTACTACTGCTACTACTACTACTACTACTACTACTACTACTACTACTACTACTACTACTACTACTACTACTACTGCTACTACTACTAGCTACTACTACTGCTACTACTACTGCTACTACTACTGCTACTACTACTACTACTACTACTACTACTGCTACTACTACTACTACTACTACTACTACTACTACTACTACTACTACTACTACTACTGCTACTACTACTACTACTACTACTGCTACTACTGCTACTACTACTACTACTACTACTACTACTACTACTACTACTACTACTACTACTACTACTACTACTACTACTGCTACTACTACTACTACTACTACTACTACTACTACTACTACTACTACTACTACTACTACTACTACTACTACTACTACTACTACTACTACTACTACTACTGCTACTACTACTACTACTACTACTACTACTACTACTACTACTACTACTACTACTACTACTACTACTACTACTACTACTACTACTACTACTACTACTACTACTACTACTACTACTACTACTACTGCTACTACTACTACTACTACTACTACTACTACTACTACTACTACTACTACTACTACTACTACTACTACTACTGCTACTTCTACTATTACTACTACTACTACTACTTCTACTATTACTACTACTACTGCTACTACTGCTACTACTACTGCTACTACCAGTACTTCTACTACTACTGCTACTATTATTACTACTACTACTACTACTACTGCTACGACTACAATACTACTACTACTACTACTACTACTGCTATGACTACAATACTACTACTACTACTACTACTACTACTACTACTACTACTACTACTACTACTACTACTACTACTACTGCTACGACTACAATACTACTACTACTACTGCTACGACTACAATACTACTACTACTACTACTACTGCTACGACTACAATACTACTACTACTACTACTACTGCTACGACTACAATACTACTACTACTACTGCTACGACTACTACTACTACTACTACTACTACTACTACTACTACTCTTTCTGGACTCTGTTTTAAGTAATAAGACTCGACTTGGACTTGACTCGGTCCAGTCCCAAGTGACTTGGACTTCTCTAGAGCTGGTGCTGAGACGTCTCTTTTTTTAATTTCATTTTTAAAATAAATTAAAAGACATTGATGATTTCAAACTTCTCTAAACTGCACCTGTTTCATCTCCTCAGGGGGAGAAAGACAAAGCCATCGCCGACTGCACCAAAGGTACTGCGCCGATGTACTTTAAATATTTCTGATACTAAATACTACTCCTACACCGATGTACTTTAAATATTTCTGATACTAAATACTACTCCTACACCGATGTACTTTAAATATTTCTGCTTCTAAATACTACTCCTGCACCGATGTACTTTAAATATTTCTGCTTCTAAATACTACTCCTGCACCGATGTACTTTAAATATTTCTGCTTCTAAATACTACTCCTGCACTGATGTACTTTAAATATTTCTGCTTCTAAATACTACTCCTGCACTGATGTACTTTAAATATTTCTCCTAATAAATACTACTCCTGCACTGATGAACTTTAAATATTTCTGATACTAAATACTACTCCTGCACCGATGTACTTTAAATATTTCTGCTTCTAAATACTACTCCTGCACTGATGTACTTTAAATATTTCTGCTAATAAATACTACTCCTGCACCGATGAACTTTAAATATTTCTGATACTAAATACTACTCCTGCACCGATGTACTTTAAATATTTCTGCTTCTAAATACTACTCCTGCACCGATGTACTTTAAATATTTCTGCTTTTAAATACTACTCCTGCACCGATGTACTTTAAATATTTCTGCTTTTAAATACTACTCCTGCACCGATGTACTTTAAATATTTCTGCTTTTAAATACTACTCCTGCCTGAAACTACAGCATGTAAAAGTGGTGGTTTATTTTGTTATTTAGCACAAATAAGTATTTATTCTTCCAGTGACATATTTCCTCATTCTCTTGTGCTTTTGATAACCCGTCCTGTCCCCGGTGTCTGTGTAGCTCTGGAGCTGAAGCCGGATTATCTGAAAGCTCTTCTGCGTCGAGCTGAACTTTATGAACAAACCGACAAACTGGACGAAGCTCTGGACGACTACAAGAAAGTCCTGGAGAGAGACGCACACAACAGCACGGCCAGAGGGGGCGCTATGGTGAGTGCTATCGTGCTGGTATAGTCCTGGATCAGTCCTGGCTTCGTCTTGGTTTAGTTCTGGCTTAGTCTTGGCTTAGTCTTGGCTTAGTCTTCGTTTAGTCTTCGTTTTTAGTCCTGGTTTAGTCTTGGTTTAATCCTGGCTTAGTCTTCGTTTTTAGTCCTGGTTTAGTCTTGGTTTAGTCCTGGTTTAGTCTTGGTTTAGTCCTGACTTAGTCTTCGTTTTTAGTCCTGGTTTAGTCTTGGTTTAGTCCTGTTTTAGTCTTGGTTTAGTTGTGGCTTAATCCTGGTTTAGACCTGGTTTAGACCTGATTTAATCCTGATTTAGTCCTGGCTGAGTCTTGGTTTTTAGTCCTGGCTTTGTCTTGATTCAGTTGTGGTTTAGACCTGGTTCAGTCCTGGTTCAGACCTGGTTTAATCCTGTCTTAGTCTCGTTTTTTAGTCCTGGTTTTGTCTTGATTCAGTTGTGGTTTAGACCTGGTTCAGTCCTGGTTCAGACCTGGTTTAATCCTGTCTTAGTCTTGTTTTTTAGTCCTGGCTTTGTCTTGATTCAGTCGTGGTTTAGACCTGGTTCAGACCTGGTTTAGACCTAACTTAGTCTTGGTTTTTAGTCCTGGTTTTGTCTTGAGTCCTGGTTCAGTCCTGGTTCAGACCTGGTTTAATCCTGTCTTAGTCTTGTTTTTTAGTCCTGGCTTTGTCTTGATTCAGTCGTGGTTTAGACCTGGTTCAGACCTGGTTTAGACCTAACTTAGTCTTGGTTTTTAGCCCTGGTTTAGTCTTGATTTAGTCCTGGCTTTGTCTTGGTTTAGTCATGGTTTAATCCTGGTTTAGACCTGGTTCAGCCCTGGTTTAGTCCTGGTTTAGTCCTGTCTTAATCTTGGTTTTTAGTCCTGGCTTTGTCTTGGTTTATTCAGATAATTGTATTATTTTCCTGACTGTATTTCTGATTCTGTTGCAGAGACTTCCTCCTCTGATCCACGAGAGAAACGAGAAACTCAAAGAGGAAATGATGAGTAAGAACCACTTCAGTTTTATTTTAACATCTCTGCTCCTGCCCACATGAAACAAAAACTGTCACAGAATTCAACGTCGTCTGTGTGTCTGTGTAAACAAATAATGATAAGGTTTAACTTTTGTGGATCATAATTTTGGAGATTTTTTTCAAGAGGCGACCAGATTTTCAAAATTCTAAACTGGGACACTCCTGAGTTGGGATGTTTGGCATAAATAAAATTCTTAAAAGAGCGTCTAACATTGTGCATTAAAGCTGGGTATCATTAAGAAGTTGCAGATACGATACATACCTCGATACAGAGCACTTTCGATTCGATATATTTCAAAATGATTCAATACGGTTCAATAAAAATAAAGGCTAAATCATGTCTGTGATTCTAAAAGTCTTTGTTAAACCACTTCTAATGCAAAGATCATATGAAACACAAACATTTTAATCATCAAAACAGTGAAAATGTCAAATGTGTCGCAGTAGGGGTGTGCAAAAATATCAAAATATCGATATATCGTATCGTTTAATGTGATGGCACAGTATCGATATCGTGGGCTGTTGTATCGATTTATCGCCAACAGTATTTTTTTTGGCATATTTTACTAAATTATTTTGTTACAGCTACAGTTTTGTTGCTTGTTTTGAGGAAGGAAACTTGTTTATTTGCCATTTTCACTATTTTTATTATTAAAATGTTTGTGTTTCATATGAACTTTGCACAAGTGGTTTAACAAAGACTTTTAGTATCACAGCCAAGATTTAGGCTTTATTTTTATTGAACTGCATCAAATCGATTTGAAACATATCGTATCAAATCAAAAGTTGACTGTATCGTATCGTGGCCTGTGTATCAAGGAATGTATCGTATCAGCAACTTCTTATTGATACCCAGCCCTATAATAATTTAGTAAAATACACCAAAAAATACTCTTGGCAATACTGTATCATCACATTAAGCGATACGACATTTAGATATTTTGCACACATAATCTAAGGGACTTCTGTTGCTGCATTTTTTTTTTTTGCTTTATTGTCATTCACAAACACAATTTTCTATATTCTGGTGAAAACAAATGATAATTTATGCTCCTTTTTACTGTTGGCAGGGATCACATTAGTCAAACATTGTGATAGACCTGGTTTAGACCTGGTTTAGTTTTAGTTTAGACCTGGTTTAGATCAGATTGGTCAAAAATAGGGACATCTGGGACATTTCTTGTATAAAACTGGGACAAATCAGTGGTTTTGGGTAAATCTGCTGGGACAGGGGTCAGAGGGCTCAAAACTGAGACTGTCCCGGGTAAATAGGGACATCTGGACACCCCAGGGGGTATTTTAGTTCTATGGAGTATTAATTGCTAACATATTTAGATCATCATGTTACCTTTTATTGTTTGGAAAATACTATATTCATCCAAAAACAACATATTAACATGAGTATACGTTTTTTTGTTTTTGTTGCTCTGACTCCCCGCTCCCTTTTATATTATTAGATATTGCTAAATACTGGAACATGTATGGAAGAAATCTAAAAAAATCTTCAGGCATGTTTTTGATGAGGGAACAAAGGAAGAAAGCTTAAAAAAAAAAAAAAGATTTTGCATTTCAACAACAGTGAATCTTCCATAGAGTTATATAAACCCCTGCACTCCTTCTGAGAGTAAAATGTGAAGGTGTATGGGTTTTGTTGATGGTTTTACACATGTTTTATACTGTATTTAATGATATTTTATTCCTCCTCAGGTAAACTAAAGGATCTTGGGAACATGATTCTTCGTCCTTTCGGTCTCTCCACGAATAATTTCCAGCTGAACCAGGATCAGAGCACAGGAGCCTACAACATCAACTTTGTACAGAATCCAAACAACAACAACAGATGATCAGAGGTTAACCAGGACTCGACCAGGACTCGACCAGGACTCGACCAGGACTCGAGGACTCGACCAGGACTAAAGCAGGACTAAAGCAGGACTAAAGCAGGACTAAAGCAGGACTAAAGCAGGACTAAAGCAGGACTAAAGCAGGACTAAAGCAGGACTAAAGCAAGGCTAAACCAGGACTGGCACAGGACTGACCCAAAGCACAGGAGCCTACAACATCTACTTTTTACCAAACCACAACAACAGACGATCAGGACTAGATCAGGACTAGATCAGGACTAGATCAGGACTAGATCAGGACTAGATCAGGACTAGATCAGGACTAGATCAGGACTGGACTAGACCAGGACTTGACAACTGTCATTTGTCAAAGTGCGTCTGCATTGAAGAAATGTTCTGTCCAAAGTTTACGTCAAATAAACGTTGATTTATTTAAATATATTTGTTTTTTCACTCCAGATTTATTTGTCTCCAGTGCCCACATCACCCACATATTATAAGGATTATAAAGAGTTTGAACTCTTTTTAATCGGAGCAAAGGATCATGGTCTATGTAGTTCCTCGGGTTTCTTAACCTGCCAGCAAGATGAATTCTCACGATATCTGTGAATCAACAAACTCCAGAGAATTCATTTGGTGTGAGCATAGACCAGGGGTGGGCATATTTTTTTATTTAATTTAATTTTTTTTTTATATTGTGGAGGGTCAGGCCAAAGTGTTTTAACTCAATTCTGCATAATATTAATTGTATTTCTTTATAAAAAGCAGTAAATATCATTGTTTTGACACGCTGGTAAGACTGGTGAGAGTTTATGTTATAACAAAACAATGAAAAAGTGAGGATGCCTTAGAAAAAAAATTTAAAAACAGCTTTAGTTCATGCATGAGGTAAAATGATCAGAGTCAAACAAAGGGTCATATGTGACGCGGGAGCTGCACAATGCCCAGGTTTGGCATAGACTCTGTGTATCAGGGGTGTGGCCCTTTAATCTTTTTAATCCGGACCGCCGAACTTGAATAATAATATAATTTTCAGTGTTTTAAAAGTCATTTCAATAAATAGTAAATACTGTGAGACTTGAAAGACAGATATTTTGCTGTAATGCTTTGTAATGATTTTCAGTTATGGGACTATTTCAATAACATGGGATATATTTTCTTTTATGAGGTGGATTACCAAAAAACTCCTAGTGCGGCGATTCGGTCAAATTTTAGAACCCTTTGTGGCACACGAGTCAAAAAGTGTGCCCACCCCTGGTATATAAAAATGGATATAGCTCACACACTAGCCACCTTGTTCCATATAGGAAGTTCAAATGCGGCTCTTCTGGCTCCTTCCATTTACACTGGAATATTGTCACTCCTCTCTCGTAATTGCTGATGTGAGCCTCGTCATTGGGGTCTTAAAACATTTGTATTAACCCACTCTACATGATCCTGGGTTTTTCTTTTGCCATTTTGTACATCAAAAAAGTCCTACTCATAATGGCTCCAAATTCGCTCCTGTAACCGTTTGTTCATCATTGTGAGCTTCATTTGACTGGAGCTGAACACTGTACGTGACACTCGCTTAGTCCGCTTTTTTGTTCAGTCTGTGGGTGTGAGACAGGTTACTAGTTCCTATCAGCAACAAGTTTTAGCCCACAACAAACCTGCATTTAGACCACAGACCGTATGATTCAGACAGAGGAGCTGTGAGTTCAGATAATTAAGGGCTTTTAATGTTACAGTTTTTATTACATCCCAAAAGACAAAAGTGAGAACGAAAATTTTTAATTCACAAACATCAGTCAAAAACAGTTTAAATAAAAGGTCTTTCTGATTGGCTGCCTCTACAGGAAGTGAGTTTTTTTGTTTGTTTGTTTTTTTAAGTAAAAGTCTTTCTTGTTTTATTGAGCTCTTCGGGACATGAGCATCTCCCGGATGTTGTCCTCTGCCTCCTTCACGCTGCGCTCCAGGTACTGCTTCTTTTGCTAAAAACAGAAAAAGATTCATATTTGACAAACTGTGGTAATCAGCGCATCAGCAACACCTTTCTACAGTTTCATATTTCTATTAACTCATTTTAAAGTATTTGTTAAATATGACATTAAAGTAATGATCTGATTGAGGCTCTTAATTGTATTTCTTCTATTAATTCATTCTGTTTATTTTAGAGAATTGATTAAGATATACACATAATCTGCACCAAAACTCTTTCAATCTGCCAACATTTCATTTGTGGTGATCAATAATAATTTAAAGAGACGGTATTTTACTTTGGTGAGAGACTAACTGAACACATAACATATTTACCAGTTACACTGGAACCAAAGTGCTCATCGGTGAACGAGACACATTCGAACAATTTAAGTGAACCCATGACGCGTCATCGACAGAGGGAGTGGATTTGCCACCAAATAAAAACAAGGCCATATGAAAGTGGATGTCACAGTGAGGAAAATAATCATGAATCGCATCATCGACACCAGCGAGTATTTGTATTCATACAATTGATTATTTATCTACGTCAAGCTCTGCTACAACATCGATCTGCTGTGGAGAAACATCTGCTGTGGAGAAAGCGGCAGCAACGCCCTATCCAAAGATGCGACCTCACCAAGCGAACACTTATATAACAAATACTTGGTCCCTTCCGCTGACCTTCTTGTCACTTGATTTCTCCACCATATTACACACACACGTTTTACTTGTTTCCTGTCGGGAACCAACTTTTCGGTTCCCGAACGCTCTGATTTTCGGCATGAACATGTCAGATGGTTTGCAATTAGGTGCGGGAACTGGCACGGTTTTCTGTCGGTTTGAAAACGCTGCCCGTGTGTCAGATGCCCTCCCTCCCCGTGTGTCAGATCATTGTACCTCCAGTTCCTTGATCTTCTCGTCTGCCGTCCTCTGTTTGTCCATCAGCTGGTTGTTGATCTCCTCTTTGGATTGGAGGATGAACCTGGACACATTGCCACGGTAACTGTTACTACACACGTCGCCACGGTTACAGTGAACACACACCTGTCGCTACGGTTACAGCTGCTGCTGCTTCTAAACATGACAGATTCTGGACCCTTGTCGGGACTGAACCAGAACTAAATCAGGACCAAAACCAGGTCTAAACCCGTATTTAGCTAAGTTTGCAGAGTTTAGAACACAGGTGACAATCATAAGGCCCGGGGGCCAGATCCGGCCCTCCAAGACCTTTAATCTGGCCCTTGGCTGATTTTCAACTTAAATATTTTAATAAAAATATTGGTAATTTTCTGCGGTGCTTAGCATAGCAGCGTCTCTGTACATGGCCCCTCCCACCAGAGCAGCACAAATGAAGACTTGTATCTTTCCAAATGCTCTTAAAGGACGATCGTTTTGACTGTTGACCGTGACACTGTCATCAGAAAAATGTCAAAAATGAGAAAAGTGGAGCCGAGTGCAGGATTTTCCAAGAAAAATTTACTTATTCCTATTTGCAGACAAGTTCATGTTAAAATATTGTGTTGAAATTACATTTTTCTTAAAGTTTCAGGTTGTTCATAATATTATAATATTTTGTAGAAGAAAGAGTTCATCAATTTAAAAAGATTTCTGTAGTAGATTTACGTTTCTCTGCACAAATATTTGAACTTATTGTTATTTTTGAGGTATATATTCCATGAGTTTTCTGATCCGGCCCCTTTGCGATCAAAGTAGGTTGGATATGGCCCCTGGACCAAAATGAGTTTGACACCCCTGGTTTAGAAAATATTTTGAAATTGACTGGCTGATTTTGATCTGAGCCAAACAGCAGAATGTTCAAATCAGGACAGTTGGGGCAAATCTAATCATCGTAAAACTCGTTCTCACGTGACACTGAAGAAGAAGGCGACAGACACCAGCCCAAACTGTCAAACTATGAAACAATCAGTGGTCTGAATCTAAAGTATAATCAATCCAGAAGAAGTGTTGGCTCTCACATTCGTCCCACGCCCTCGTACAGGCGCGTGTTGTCCGGCAGAGCGCTGATCTCCAGGTGCGTGAGCTGAGCGTGTTTCTGGACTTTACTCAGCTGCTCGATCTGGAGGTCGGCCATTTTGGCTTTCTGCTGCGTGTCCAGAACCTTCACCTGCAGCTCTGAGAACGCCTGGAAAACACAAACGAACAAACACACGTGAGGAGAGGGTCTGAGGATTCTAACTGATACTGATCCTGGTTTAGATCCTGGTGTAGACCTTGTGTAAACCTGGTTGTTGCCCAGGATCATCTAGAGCACAGGTGTCAAACATGCGGCCTGGGGGCCAGATCCGGCCCTCCAAGACCTTTAATCTGGCCCTCGTCTGATTTTCTACTAAAATATTTTAATTATTTTTTATTAAAATCTTGTTTATCACAGCAGCGTCTCCAGCGTCTCTGTACGTGGCCCCTCCCACCAGAGCAGCTCTTAAAGGACGATCGTTTTGACTGTTGACCGTGACACCCTCATCAGAAAAATGTCCAACATGAGAAAAGTGGAGCCGAGTGCAGGATTTTCCAAGAAAAATTTACTTATTCTTATTAAGTTAATGTTAAACAAGTTCATGTTAAAACATTGTGTTGAAATAGTATTTTTCTTCAAGTTCCAGGTTGTTCATAATATTATAATATTTTGTAAAAGAAAGAGTTCATCTATAAAAAAAATAATAGATTTGTGTTTCTCTGCACAAATATTTGAACGTATTGTTATTTTTGGGGTTTATATGACATAAGTTTTCTGATCCGGCCCCTTTGGGATCAAAGTCGGTTGGATATGGCCCCCGGACCAAAATGAGTTTGACACCCCTGATCTAGAGGGTCTCTGGGGGTTTTTGAATCCTGATTTAAACTTGATTTGGATCTGGTTTAGATCCTGATTTGGACCTAGTTTAGATTCTGATTTGGACCTAGTTTAGATCTGGATTGGATTCTGATTTGGACCTGGTTTAGATCCTGATTTGGACCCAATTTAGATTCTGAGTTGGACCTAGTTTAGATCTGGTTTAGATCCTGATTTGGACCTGGTTTAGATCCTGATTTGAACCTAGTTTAGATGTGGTTTGGATCCTGATTTAGACCTAGTTTAGGTCCTGGTTTAGACTTGGTTTAGAGCTGGTTTTGGTCCTGATTTATGACCTGATATAGAGCTGGTCTGGACATGGCTCAGGCTAATCCTGGTTTTGGTCCTGATCCATGGTCCTCACAGAGGGTAATATACATTCATACAGAGCTGGATGTGCTTTGCCAAAGGACACAAAGGCAGAACTACAAACCAGGTTTAACAACAAATAATCCACCACAAGCTGAGAAATAGCTGTAGAGTTCAGTCCTGGTTCAGTCCCGGTTCAGTCCCATTTCAGTCCCGGTTCAGTCCCGGTTTAGTCCCGGTTTAGTCTCTGGTTAGTCTCTGATTCAGTCCTGGTTTAGACCCGGTTTAGTCCTGATTCAGTCCTGGTTTAGTCCCGGTTTAGACCCGGTTTAGTCCTGGTTTAGTCCCGGTTCAGTCCTGGTTCAGCCCTGGTTTAGTCCTGGTTCAGGGCTGTGGGCAGGGCTGTCCGCATGGGGGTTTGCGCCTGTCATATTTGCGCTTCTTTTGTCACTTTTCCAATCGAATCTTCAGAGTTTTATTTTCTCTTTCGGTCCGGTGAAAATCCGCACTGTCTTCGCGTCATGTCTGTCTCGGTCTGACTCACTAAAACAGGTTTAAAATCACAAAAAACGAACAAAACTTTACCTTTTTCAGCTCTAGATCCACAGGCGCCGCCATCTTACTGCGGAGAGGAGGTACTGCGCATGCGCTCATCAATTTCTACGTTATTTAATTTATTTTATTTGTTCAGTTTTATTTATGCTAATTTAACCAGTTTACTAAGCACCGAAATACAAATGAAATACATATAATTAAACTATAATACTTAAAAATAAATAAATAAATACAATACAATACAATACAATACAACACAATTAAATCAAATTAAATTAAATTAAAAGAAAGCTAAAAGGCTAATAATAGCTGTATTACAAATAAATAAATAAATAAATAAATGAATAATAATAATAATAATAATAATAATAATAATAATAATAATAAAATACACTCACTGATTAAATTAAATTAGAAAATAGTCCCTGGTTCAGTTCTGGTTTAGACCTGAATAATAATAATAATAATAATAATAATAATAATAATAATAATAATAATAATAATAATAATAATAATAATAATAATAAAACGACACTCACTGATAAAATAAAATTTGAAATAAACTAATAAGAAATAAATATTTGGAATGTATTTGACTGTAGTGATCACATACACACAGCAGAGGGCACTCCAAACCAGGACTAAACCAAGACTAAACCAGGACTAAACCAGGAATAAACCAGGACATCCTCAGTTTGTGGTGGTTGGTAATAATAAAATTGTGAAACGAGTGCATTGTTACGCACTTGTGAGTCAGTATAGTCCCATTTTCTTTATGTTTTGTTCATTTTTAAGCAGCTTTTCTGTAATTTACCTCAACAAATGACAGTGTATGTCTCTCTTTACTGTTGGCAGGGATCAGATTGGTCAAAAATAGAGACACTTGGGACATTTCTTGTATAAAACAGAGACAAATCACTGGTTTTGGATGAATAAAAAGGGACGTGTGGTCACCCTGCTCACATCTCCTCCTCTTGTCTCCTTGGTTTCCTCGGTCACATCTCATTTCTCTTTCCTCGTTTCCTTCTCCTTGATTTCTCTCCTCGATTGTGTAGGAAATGGGCGAGGAAGTCCCACCCACAGAGGAGAGAGAAGCAAAGGAGAGAGGAGAAGAAGAGAGAGAGGAGGGGAGAGGAGAGGGGGAGAGGACAAGAAGAGAGAGAAGGAGTAAAGGAGAAGAGGAGAAAAGGAGAGAGGACAGGAAGAGAGAGGAGAAGAGGAGAGGACGAGAGAGGAGAAGAGGAGAGAGGAGGAGAAGAGAGAGGAGAAGAAGAGAAAGGTGGAGAGGAGAGGAGAAGAAGAGAGAGGAGAAGAGAAGAGAGGAATAGAGGAGAAGAGAGAGGAGAAGAGGAGAAAAGGGAGAGAGGATGAGAAGAGAGAGGAGAAGAGGAGAGAGGAGAAGAAAAGAGGAGGAGAGAGGAGAGGGGGAGAAAAGAGACACAGAGGAGAGAGAAGAAGAGGAGAGACGGAGAGAGGAGACAGAGAGTAGCAGAAGAGAAGAGGAGCAGAGGAGAGGAGATGAGGAGGAGAAGAGGAGAGAAGAGTAGAGGAGAGGGGAAAAGAAAAGAAAGGAGAAGCAGAAGAGAGAGGAGAACAGAACAGAAAAGAGTAGAAGAGAGAGGAGAAGAGGAGAAGAGCACTTGTTTGGTGAAGTTTTTCCAGATTTTACATTGAAGCTGCACAGTCTTGGGTGACCGTGTGTCTGAAGGAAAAAGACACAAAATGACTTTTCTTTGGGAGTGAACGGCTCAACCTGAAAACAAAACAAAAATAAAACATTAAATATAAAATCTTGTAACCTGTTCTGTTCATTGTTTTTATGGACAAAATTTCTAGGTGCAGTCAGAGGTCGGAGGGTCCGGTTTGGAGACCACAGGATCATCTCTGCTGTTCACAGATGATGTTGTCCTGTTGGCTTCATCAGGACAGGACCTGCAGCACTGGGGCAGTTTGCAGTCGAGTGTGAAGCGGCTGGGATGAAGATCAGCTCCTCCAAGTCCGAGGTCGTGGTTCTCGATCAGAAAAAGGAAAGGTGACTTGTCCTCTCCGTGTGGGTGGAGAGTCCCTGTCTCAAGTGGAGGAGTTCAAGTATCTCAGGGTCGGGAAGGATGGAGCGTGAGATTGACAGGTGGATCGGTGCAGCGTCGGCAGTGATGCGGTCGCTGTATCGGACCTTTGTGGTGAAAAGGGAGCTGAGTCGAAAGGCGAAGCTCTCGATTTATTTGGTCAGTCTACGTTCCTCCCCTCACCTCTGGTCCTGAGCTCTGGGTAGTGACCGAAAGGACAAGATCGCCGATACAAGCGGCTGAAATGAATTTCCTCCGCAGGGTGTCTGGGCGCTCCCTTAGAGATAGGGTGAGGAGCTCAGTCACACGGGAGGCGCTCGGAGTAGAGCCGCTGCTCCTCCACGTCAAGAGGAGCCAGTTGAGGCTCGGGCATCTGTGCTGATGCCTCCTGGGCGCCTCCCTCAGGAGGTGTTCTGGGCATGTCCCACCAGGAGGAGGCCCCAGTGAAGACCCAGGATATGCTGGAGGGACTATGTCTCTGGGCTGACCTGGGAACACCTCGGGGTCCCGCCAGAGAACCTGAAGTGTCTGGGGTGAAGGAAGTCTGGGAGTCCCTGCTCAGACCCAACCCCAGATAAGTGAAGAAAATGGATGGATGAAAGAATATAAAATCTTGATCTGTTTCTTTACATTCTGTGAACATTTGAGGTGATTTCAACCAGAATTGCCAAAATTATCAACCTGTGAAATTATGTCAAATTTTTTTTTATTGATACTTCCTGCTTCCTGCTCCTTTCACCTGAATCCTCGCTCATGTTTCCTCTGTGGTTTCCTTCCCTCGCCTCCTCTGAGCTTCAGGACTTCACTAAATATGGCTCATTTGATTGACAGCTGGAGAAAAAAACAGAGGATTGAGGAGAAAAGTCAAGGAGAAGGAAGCGAGGAAAGGGAACTGAGACGTGGCCTTTGTCTCGTCTCCTCGTCTCCTCCTCTCCTCTCTCCTCTCTCCTCGTCTCCTCCTCTCCTCGTTTCCTCATCTCCTCTTTCCTCATCTCCTTGTCTGTTCTCTCCTCATCTCCTCATCTCCTCGTCTCCTCTCTCCTCTTCCCCTCTCTCCTCCTCTCCACTCTCCTCTCTCCTCATCTCCTTGTCTCCTCTTTCCTTGTCTCCTCTCTCTTCATCTCCTCGTCTCCTCTCTCCTCATCTCCTTGTCTCCTCTCTCCTTGTCTCCTCTCTCTTCATCTTCTCGTCTCCTCTCTCCTCATCTCCTTGTCTCCTCGTGTCCTCGCCTCCTTGCCTCCTCATCTCCTCATCTCCTCGTCTCCTCTTCTCCTCTTTCCTCGTCTCCTCGTCTCCTCTCTCCTCGCCTCCTCGCCTCCTCGTCTCCTCATCTCCTCGTCTCCTTGTTTCCTCGGTCCATAGTCCTGGTGTGAATATGTGTCTCCTTTACTCTCCCTGTCCTCCTCCTTTCCTCTCTCCTTGCCTCCTTGTCTCCTCTCTTCGTCTCCTCGTCTCCTCGTCTCCTCGCCTCCTCACCTCCTCGTCTCCTCGTATCCTCAGTCCATAGTCCTGGTGTGAATATGTGTCTCCTTTACTCTCCCTGTCCTCCTCCTTTCCTCTCTCCTTGCCTCCTTGTCTCCTCTCTCCTCGTCTCCTCGTCTCCTCTCTCCTCGTCTCCTCGTCTCCTCACCTCCTCACCTCCTCGTCTCCTCGTATCCTCAGTCCATAGTCCTGGTGTGAATATGTGTCTCCTTTACTCTCCCTCTCCTCCTCCTTTCCTCTCTTCTCGCCTCCTCGCCTCCTCGCCTCCTCGCCTCCTCGTCTCCTCGTCTTCTCTCTCCTAACCTCCTCGCCTCCTCGTCTCCTAGGTCCATAGTCCTGTTGTGAGTGATTTGTGTCAAGGCCAACCTCATAAACTCATTTTAAAACAGCACCAATAAAATCTTTTACGACCCGCCCGGTTAATGTTTACCCCGTCGCTCCATCTCTCTCTCCTCTCCTCCACCTGTCCCCTCTTTCTCTTCGTCACCCCCTCTCACCCTCCGTCCGTCTATCTCTCTATCCTCCTCCTTTCTTTCAGGTCAAACTGTTGTGTCACGTCGCTCTCTTTTTTTTTCTTTCTCCTTCACTCTCTGTTCAAAATTTTAAACTGTGGGCTTAAAAATAACTCCAAAAACATTTAAAGAGTTCATTTATTACTTATTTTCTGATCTATTTTATCTTATAATCTTGTTTTCTCATCATAAACAAACCCAGAGTTGAGAATTTCAGCACGTTTTTTCTGTTTAGTTTGATTATTTGATTCAAACATTTGTCCAGACACTGATCGAATCTTTTCAAATCAAATCCCAGGGGCAGGTTTATGAAATTAAACACATTTTAAAAGTGAAATCAGCTTAAGTATTTTTAATGGAGAGAAAATACAAAAGAAATGTGATTATTATGTGAGTGTGTGTGAAAATATTAAGATACACTGCAAAAAACAATATCCAGCCAAGTTAAAATGACTTAAATTAAGAATATTTTACTTTATTTTGAGGTGATTCAACTTGACTTGACTTGAAATTATCTAACAATGGAAGAAGTGTGTTTTTTTCTAAATTCAAGCAACATTTGATTTTGTTTCTTACTTTAAGTGCAAAAAGATGTTTTTCTGATTTTAAGTGTAAAAAGTTGTTGTTTTTTTTTCTTATTTTACACACAAAAAGTTGTTTTTTTTTCTTATTTTAAGTGCAGCAAGATGTATTTTCCTAGTTTAAGTACAAAAAGCCTTACTCCATTGGCAGATCATTTGACTTGTCAAGTGAAATTGACTCAAATCATGATAAAACTTTCTTAATTCAAGTCAGTCATCTTAACTTGGCTAAATTTTTATTTTTGCAGTGTAAAAAAATCTTGTTTCAGGATTAAATATTATTTATAAATGTTTTTATTACATACAGGGTGTCCCAAAAAATTTGATCAGGCTAAAAACTTTGGAAATTCTTCTTTAAATCACCTCAAATTTTCACAGAATTTATAGAAACAGATCAAAATTTTATGTTTAATGTTTTATTTTTGTTCTGTTTTCAGGT